CCCCAAAACCCCAAAACCCCAAAACCCCAAAACCCCTAATAACTCAAAAGACCCTGAATAATATAAAATTGATTTAAAATGTCTATACACAGAATGTCTTCATTCGGCTCAACTCCAATGAGTAACAAAAATGCTATTAGGAGAAAAAAATCAATAGCAAATGATAGCTTCTACTTTAACAAAACTTTCACAAGCACAATGAAGAATTACTTAACCGGAGGAAGAATAAGCATGAAGAAAGTCAATCGAAAGCAGAGCAAAGTTGGTTAAAAGTTTATTTTTAGGCTAAGAGGAATAGGTTGGTGAGCCAGACTAGTAAGCTCAAAAAACCTGATGTAAATTCTATATGAATCAAGAAAAACTCCCTCTTCAACAATGAACGGTGGATGAATTTTGACGATTCATTCCAAGGTACTATAAAATCCTCACTGTATAAAATTTAGGCTGGAATATGATTACAGATCTTGTTTGAAATACAGAAGGATTTCATTTTAAGTAATTTACACCAAAAAGAGTCTGACCTCTATAGGAATATCATGAATAAAATCTCGATGAAATAAGCCCAAAATTGTAAGTAGATAGCAATTTAAATAATTTCATTATCTGAAAATAATAATTCAGGATTTATTTAAGTTTTTTAATTCTTACTCGAATAAATTAACAAGATTTCTAGAAGTACACTGAGAAGACGACCGCTTCGATTAATCCAAAAAGGTTGAATAATCTGTAAACAATTTAGATTGAAAAGCTCATACGGAAAGCCAAAAGGAGTTTCTCTTAATAATGGTTTATCGTAAGCTTTAAAATCTAAATTTTAGGGAAATGATCCTTAGTCCTCATCCTATTAATAATGAGGTAATCTTTATGCTAATTTATAGACTGGGAATACAAGTTTGATTCCCATAGAGGAGAATATTGAGAAACTTCCGATCCCCATCAAGCCTATGCGTAGAAAGCATACTCACAGATCGAAGGCTATGAGCATGAGGAGAAACCACGAGGTTCGTCTCCATAGGCCACAGAGAAGGCACAAAGCAAAAGAAACCGCAACTCAAGTTTTCAATAAAATAATAGGTAAACTTCTTGGTTTCCAGTATGAATTAATTTAGATGATATAAATGCTAAGAAGTCTTTGAGGAATAGAACAATTGAACCTCGTATACGATGTAAGTACTCTAACATTACTTTATAGCAGGACCAAGAGATGTAATGTCGTCTCAAGGCCCCAGAAATAGAATGAAATTATTAGAACTAGGCAGTCCAAAAATGATACTTACTCCTGAAAGGCAAATGGACCAAATTTCAATAGGAAGGAATCTTGAGGAATATAAAGAAACAGTGATTTCTCAAATGCGTGAATGTCAGTCTCCAATTCAGGTATTGAAAATGAGCAAGGTATTATGAGCTCCTTTCTTCTCATACAATTCTCCTACTCAGAAGTCTGTAACAAAGTATCTTAGCCCAGTAAGATAGCTTCCTAAACTACTGAGATATTATTCAATGCAAGTAATTACATATGGGGTTTTGGGGTTTTGGGGTTTTGGGG